GGTAGAATAAAGGCATCCCCCACCAAAAAAAAGTGTCTAGTTCCACCATTTGACTCCTATTAAAAGAATACAAGCATTTGTGACAGATGGCTAGAGAGCTGCATCAAGGTGCAATGGACTTCGTAGGATTTGTTTTGCAAGATTTGTGTATCCATTTCCTGCCACCATCTGCATGTATAACTCTATCCTGCATGACCAGAAAGTTTCCTGACACAAATAGTCTTATTTACAAGATAATAAAGGCAAGTCTTAACAATTTTTCTAAGGTTTAATTGAGTATTGCAACTTTATTGACATTTATATGATACCAGGCTGTCAGAATTCTTTATAAGCATTTGTTTTAATTGATCTATAGTTTATAGAGATTTTGTGGCAAATGATAATGGAATAAATAAATCAACAGATAACTATCCAGTCTAATGAGAAATTGCCTTCAATTGTCTTAATTCCTTACCCCCGGTGAATAGACTAATCCAGCCCTCCCTTCCCCATTCCACTACCTCTCAGAAAAGTAGCTCTGTATCATTTTCTTAACAATTCCAAAGAAAGAGGCACCATCGCTTTTTGGGGGAGGAGGCACTGTTCAGTTTCAATAAACCTTCTTGTTTCTAGAAATTAAATTATCTTACAAACATACTACTAAGTGAAGACAGGAGTCTTCTTCATTTCCAAGAACATTCCCTTCTTGTATAAAACATTAACGATACATTGAAATATCAAAGAATGAAATTTACTTATGAAAATGTGCTGTTAGACAAAAGAAAATCAAAAATTTAATGTGTTTCTTCTATAACTGATTTAACGATAGTCTGTTTCAAATACTTGTCTTTTAAGAATTTTGGTACCTGACATCAGACACATAACCATGCTACCCCACTAGTCTGTAGCCATCTAGGAATTAGTTCCAGATTATCAAAATCTGCAATGTCTTTCAGTATTTCCATAACTAGTCTTATCATGCTAGTTTCTGATATTGCCAGATCTTTACATGGAGAAAGCTTATATGACAAGCTTTTAAAATAAATGTGGTAAAATGTACATAAAATAAAATTTACCATTTTCACCATTTTAAATGTACAATTCAGTAGTGTTAAGTACATTCTCATTGTTGTATGACTTTTCCTATCATTGTTTCCAAAACATTTTCATCTTCTTAAACAGAAACTCTGAACCCATTAAACAACTGCTCTTCGTTTATGAGGAGCTTTTAAAATTATTTCAAAATAAAGAATGACAGGAGGTATGACTCAAGCAGTAGAGTGCCTGCTTAGCAAAGCACAAGGCCCTGAGTGCAAACCCAAGTTCTGCCAAAAAAAAAAATTAGAAACAAAAGTAAAGAGCAATTTTAGAGAGACACCTTTAGCAGTTGATCTTCCCAAAATATTTTTCCGAGACTATTAGGAATTCTCTTGCAGCCCAGTGAAAGCAGCTAGCTGTTCCTTCCACATTGCCTCTTCACTGCCTCTTCACACAAGCCACAGGGGCTCCTTTGTAACCCCAAAAGGGGGAGCCATGAGCCTAGAGGAATGACTGCTTCACACTTCAGGATTGTGGATACGGTGTGTGTCTGTGCATCTCAGCACATCATAGTTGCTGTGTAAGGAACAGATGGGACTCTGATCTCCCAGTAGATCCACTGGAACCCCCATCTTGAATGTTAAACAATGACCCGCAGAGAGAAAGTAATTTGTTTTCTCCAGTTAATCATCCCTTCCACAGACTGGAGTCCTTCACATGCAGGAACATGTGAGCTGGAAGCATCAGTGCTGGGGCTTCCTGGCTCCCATCCAGAGCTTTTGTTTGCTGAGACAGACAGTGCTCCAAGCTGTAATGTGGCAAAACCTGTCAACACACAGGGCTTGTCTGTGCTTTCCAGACACATGGGAAGCAGACTGGCCTTCCATGAAGCTCTGGTCTTTTCTGGGGAAAAGAAGTATCATATGCAAGTCAAGGAGAAAAAAAATATTTATAATAGAGAGGAATAATTGGTTTCTGCATCAGAGGGGCCAATTCCAGGCAGCTGACAAGTTTATTAAAATTATTTTTGAGAATAGGTATTGGTGTACATTGCCCCAAATCAGTATTACCTTATACATGATCCTTAAAATACAAAGTATATCCCAAAGACATTTTCAAAGGCCAAAAATATTGAAGAAAAGTAAGTTGGCATCAGTGTCCCCAGAAAGTCATTCCATTTTTTTGCATATGACCCCTCTCTCCCAAAAGCAGAATAATTACACAGATCAAGAGGCATAGCTTCCTTTCCTACTTCATTATACTAAACACAAAGATATCTGTGACCAGAAACCTAATCAACAACTTCCACCTAACACCCGAGACTTGAAGATACATGAACTGAAATCACAGTAAACTGCAGGAGTCACATCTGAGGAGGGGTGTGTGGTCCAGAGCACAGAGATGGGGTGGAGGAGGCTGCATGGCCATCCTGATGCAGTTAGAGCCTACCCTGCCTAGAAGAGCTTGGCACAGAGTAGTGCTTTGTTCCTTTTAAGGCCAAATTAATTAGTGCATTGTACACAGTGAAGAAAAGAATTTAATCCAATGAAACCAGAGATGATGAAGAGTTTTCCTCTCTTCCAGGACCTTAGAATGATCCTGATCAAGACTCATTAATATCACTAGGAGTTCACCTCCATCCTCACTAAACAAGACAGTTCTCAGGTCATTCTGGAAAGACTATGTTTCAGGCTCTAGTGGTCCCTATTTTCCAGTTCCTCAGTGGCAGCATCTTTCAGAGGAGACTTCCTACCTACCTGAGAGTTTCACCTATAGCCAAGGGCCTTTATCTAAGAGTCAACTGGGCCTTTTGAGAATTCTAAAGCCAGGTGCAATATTTTTTTCATTGATTTTTTTTTTCTTGATGCCTTAAAGATTATTTTTGGAAGAAATGTTTTGCTAATTAAACATGTATTAAGGTATTGCTTCAATCCACTGTGCCACTTACACTTAAGATAGTATAGGACTCCTTTGAACATAGTTAGGTGAGATGTCATGGTTGATTTTATGCCTTGACCCTATGGAATTGAGTTAAACATATTCTTCTGTTAGGATCATGTGTGTGTGTGTTTGTATACACTAAGACTTTTAACTGACAAAATGTTACAAAAGGAAAGATTCCTGACACTGCCAGATATGCCAAAACCCCAGTGTTTTTGTATAGCAATTTTTTGTAGCAGCAAAAGAATGAAGATTATAAAGTTAAAGGATTATCTTGTGTGTTCATTTTTTCAAAATATCTCAGATGGTGTGGAACTAGTTTGAGAGTATTTGCCTTGATAAAACTTTAATTTACATCAAAACTTGGATTTGTGCTAGTTTTGCCTTGGAGCATCTGAGGCAAGTGGCCTATCTCACTGCCAAAAACCTCACATATTTGGAGTGAACTTGGTGGAGCCATGTGTTGTAGAAATGGTCAAACTGGTTTGCGGCTCAGAGCTGTGAAAGAAATGCTTTCATTCATCCATCAACAAACATTCATTGAGCATCTAGCATGTCTCAAGCACTGCTCTAGTACCTGGGGACATGGCAGTGAACTACAAAAGGGACAGCCTCTCTTTGTGCATTCTAGAGGAGGCAGACAAACATTAAAGATGAGAAAATTATAGGCAATGTTAAAGCAGTTAAATAATAGGGAAAACATAAGATATGAAGGTGCACGGGATGAAAAGTGCCAGGGAGAGACTACAATTTGAAATGGTATAGTTGGAATAAGCCTGATAGGAAAGGTAACCTCTGAGTAAAGACTTAAAGAGCCAAGAGAGTAAGACCTAAGACTCTCTGGAGTAAGAACCAGGATTAGCACCTGCAAAAGCCCTGAGGTGGCAACCTACCTCCTATGTCCAAGGTCAGAATCCAGTTCAGTGTGGCTGAGCAAGTCTGAGTTGGAGAAAGGTAGCAGCAGTAGCAGATTGTCCAGGATCCAAAAGCAATCATCAGGACTTCAGCTTTTCCTTTGAAAATCTGAGCCAATGGAAGTTCTGGACAGAGACATAGTGGTTTAGCTTTTGCTTTAGAAGGATCACTGTGGATACTGTGCCAAGACTAGATGGAAGGGGATGAGAATAGAAGCAAATAGAACAGCAGAGAAACTGTTGCATTAGTCCAAGTGAGGAAATATGGTAGCTCAGACCTGCGCAGTAGCACGGGAGGAAGTTAGAAGAGAAGTGACTCGATCCTGGATATATTTTGGAGGTGGAGCCATGAGAAATTCTTGACAACCTGGATGTGGAGAGAGAGCAGAGGAGAAAACTGAGATGCATGTTCAGGTTTGGGGCCTGAACAGCTAGAAGGGTTAAAGAAGGGTTTATTGTCTTATGGAGTAGAATTTAGTGTTTTTGTTTGGGCTGCTCTAAAACATTATCACAGGCTAGACAACTTATAAACAACAGAAACTTATTTCTCACAGTTCTGGAGGCTGGCAAGTCCAAGGTCAAGTTTCCAGCAGATTTAGTGTCTGGGGAGGGCCCTCTTCCTCAAAGATAGCCTTGTTCTAACTCTATCCCCTTAGGCAGAAGAGATGAGTCTCTGGGGTCCCCCATAAGGGCACCAATCTCATTCATGAGGACTCTGATGTCATGACCTAATTACATCTATACTCCTCCTCCCAACAGGATAACTTTGGGGATTAAGATTTCAACATATAAATTGGGGGTGGGGCAATAAACATTTGGAAGCATCACAATATTGCCCATGAATTAGTGTGACAAATTCTCATGTGATAATTACCACACCAGTGACACAATACTGGCACACTAATTACCACCTATTAAACTGAATTATAAATCATTGAATTAAAAATTACTTTATGGTTTTAGTTCCTGTAGCATATCTATTTTCCTTGGATCATACATATTACGCAGAATTATAAAATTCTTTCTCAGTACTGCAGCTAAATCCACCATGCTGCCAGGAACACTATAAAAGAGGACAATGTGACTTGTGTCTTTTTTTAACCATACCTACTTCTCATTCCTCTCAAGGCTATTACATGTACATCGAGGCCTCCCACATGGTGCATGGACAGAAAGCACAGCTCTTGTCCAGGCCTCTTCGAGGCGTCCCCGGAAAACACTGCTTGACCTTTTTCTACCACATGTATGGTGCAGGGACTGGCCTGCTGAGTGTTTATTTGAAAAAGGAGGAAGACAGTGAAGCATCCCTCCTATGGAGGAGAAGAGGAGAGCAGAGCATTTCTTGGCTTCGAGCACTGGTTGAATACAGTTACACAAGGCAACACCAGGTAAGCAAAGAGAGGTAAAAACTGAGTGAGGGAAAATATGCATCTGAGTTTATGATGTTCTTCCTTTTTCTTGCTACCAAAGAGAATATTTCCTCCTTTTTCTGGGTCAGAGATAAAGGCAGGATTAGTTTAAGAGTAAACATTATTAGTATCTATATTGATTAAATCTAAGCAGTGAATTGGAAATTAGACAGGGAGAGAAAGCTTTGGAATGCATGCATAAAATGATTTTTTTTTTGTAATTCAGTGATGAAAGTGTATCTGTTTTTGTCTTGGTACATTATGAATGTCAAGTATATTTCCATGTGTCCTGCACATTTTCAAGTGAAGTGTCCTTTCTTCTAAATATGGTATTGCCTGATTAGTTGTGGCAGCTGGATCCTTTATTCATCTTTACCCATATGCATGTAAAACTTTCTGTTTAACCTTAATTTCAGAGTGGGTATGATCCAGAGTAAGATTTTTAAAGCTTCTGTACCCATCTCTGCATTTATGTGGAAGAAACTTGGAGACTCTTGATCCCAAGTCCTGGGTCTCCCCCGGGATCCTCTCAAGTGCTATAGATTCCCATCTAGATTATGTAGATTATTCCAATAGGCAAGGCTCAGCAGCCAATCTAGCCCAGAGAATAGCAGCTGCCTTCTAATAGCCATGGACGACTTCACCTGCCCACCACGAGCCAAAGGTCAGAAAGCTGGAGGAAGATAACTTTCAGACTCCCAACTGTTCTTGAAATTGCACTGTCGAATTCTAAAGCTTGACTTCCAACTAAAAGCCCAGCTTCCTCCTCACCCTTGTTTCTAGCTGATAAACCTCCTGGACCAGCACTCCTCAGCTTTAACCTCTGCTGCCTGGCCTAAGCCCAAATCTTCCTAGGAAGAGGTATCCAAAATAAGGGGTTTATTCTATGCCACTCCACAACCAAAATTAATTTTCCACAGATCTAAGTGGGAAGAAATTGCAGCCCAGGTGGCCAGGATGCAGTGTCATCTGAGGTGCTGCATCATTACAGAACAAATGACAGAGAGAAAATGCACCATTATCCAGGAAGGGCCCATTAGCTCAGCATGGATAAGCTGTTTAGAAATTTAGTAAAGGAACACAGATAGGTACTTCAGCAGCACATATATTAAAAAATTGAAATGATTCAGAGAAGACTAGGATGGCCTCTATATAAGGATAACACATGAATTCATGAAGCATATTTAAGTAGAAAGTGACAAAAGAAAACAAGACAGCCCCACAAATAATTTTGATATTGATATAATGTTGTTTACAGAAGGAAAGTGGATTACTCAGGAACTTAATAATGTACTTGATCATCATTCAGTGATGATGTTTCAATTTTGTTAGGCTATTAGGACTTTTATACTTTTACCATTATCCAATGGTTCTCAAAGTGAGGTTCGGGTCCTAGCAGTATCTACAATACTTGAAACTTAAGCTCACCAAAAAGCAAATTCTCAGGCCCCACCTCAGAAGTTCTGAATCAGAAACTCCAGGGGGTTTCTGGGGCCCCAGAAATCTGGTTTAATAAGTTCCCACCCCAGGTGATTGTGGTGCATGTTAGAGATAGAGAATCTCTGTGCTAAACTAGATGAATCTGAATCTTTGATGGATGGTGCCTGAGCATTGATTAGTTAGTTAGTTAGTTAGTTGGTTAGTTGGTTAGTTAGTTAGTTTTGGAGATAGAACTCAGGGCCTCATACATGCTGGGCAAGAACTGTACCACTAAACTACACCACCAGCAAGTCCAGCACTGATATTTTTTAAAACTCCCAAGTGATGCTGATACACAAGTGCTGTAAGATCTGAGTGCTGAGGAACAAGCAACTTTGAGTGCAGGGTCAGGGCCTTGCACATACTAGACTTGGTGCATAGCTGGTCGTTTGAAATGTTTTTTGAGTTTTACAGAGTAGTGAGGCATATAAGGTGGCATCTTGGGGTGTTCAGATTCAAAAAGTGTGGAATGACCCTAGAGATTTCCAGCTCACAGTCTGCAAGGAAGACTAGACTGGCGCCATTAGCTTAGCACAAAACAGACATGAATCTTCTCCTATGTATTTACTGGTTCCTTCGAGGATCCCAAATGACTGCAGAGGAGGACTAGGCTGAGTTCCAAAGCATCCCAGCATCTAATAAAATCCACACACATTCATGTGCATAAGATTAACCTTTTTCCACATGCCAGGTATACACACAATGCTAAGCACAATACATAGGTTCTTTTAGTCGATCTTATAGTTCCATTTCACAGATAAGGAAAATTACATGTTCACTTGATAGTAACTGAGTAAGAACTCACACCCAGATCTGCCTAGTTCCAAAGTTTGTATCCACGAGTCACTGTTCCACCACAGAAGTTTCAAACTCATTTCCTTTAGGTCACAGGTATTGGGTACCTTGGAGAAATATTATCCTCTCTGAGATTGTTTACGCATTTTCAAAATGAGGAAGTCCTGCCATATTGACATCAACAGAGGAAGATTCGGGTCAAATGAAATAATGTATGTCAAAGGGCTTTTATAGATTTTAATATGAATTATAAAAAGATATTTAAAAAATACATTTACTCCCACTCCCAAATAATTTCCCTGGTCTCTACTTCATAATACCAGGGCAAAACCAGTATTCATTCTCTCTCTCTCTCTCTCTCTCAATTTCTCTCTCATTACTGGGGTTTGAACTTAAGAACTTAATTCCTGTAGCTTGCCAGGCAGACACTCTACCACCTGAGCCATGTCCTCCATCCCCAGAACCAATAATCTCAATAGCACATCAGGCATCCAGACTGAGCTCCTATAGTTTGAGGCCAAAATATCTCATTTTAATAAATATTTATTGATCACTTGATATGATAGGTGCTAATGATCCTGTAATAAATTTATTATAAAGTTCTTATTTTTTGAAGTTTATAATTTAGTGGGAGAGAAGTAGAAAATGTAAGCCAAAAATATATAATGTTACACAGGGTGACCATAAGAATAACTCAAGTTGAACTCACAGAAACAGAGCAGAATGATGATCACCTGAGCTGGAGGTGGCAGGAGAGGGAAGGAATGGGGAGTTGTTAGTCAAAGACTATAAAGTTTCAGGTAAGCAGGAGGAATAAGTTTGAGATCTGTTAGACAGGAGGGTAATTATAGTTAATAAATATGTATTACATACTTCAAAATAACTAAGAGTAATTTTCAGATGTCTCACCCCAAAAATGATTGCAATTGATAGTTAATATGCTTCATTTAATCATTTTGCATTATATACATACATAAAAACATAACCTTTTACCCTATAATGGTGTACAGTTGTAATTTGTCCATTAAAATAATATTAATGTAAGGAAAAGAAAAAGGTCAAGCCAATCAGGAGATGAAGCAGAAGTATTAGAATCATCCTGAAAGAACTTTAGCGATCATGGGAAAGGGCTTGAAATTTATTCCAAAAGCAGTAAGAATCCATAAGATGGCTTTAAAGTAATATGATCTGATTTATATTTTTAAATAATCCTTGTAGCTTCTATGTGGAAAAGATATTTCTGGTGGGGCAAGAAGACTTGGGGGCTACTGCACTAGTCTTGGCAAAAGGAAGGGTAGCTTGGACTAGGTAGCAGCCATGAGTTGTTACCAGAAGCTCACAGGACTTCTTATGTACAGAATGTAGTGTTTGAGAGAAAGAGAGGAGTCAAGGTGGCTCTGGAGTTGGCCAGAGCAATTGCCACAATAAACTTATATGCCATTTATGGAGATGATGAAAGCTAGGCAGAGAATCTCTGGAGGAGTGACGACAGTGTGTGTAGAAGGGAAATTAATAGGTGTCTCTTTGGAAATGCTGTTTTTAATGTCTACTAGAAATCCAAGTGGGTGTATCAAATAAGTGGTCCACATGAAGCTGAAGTTCACAGGAGAGAATGGAGCAGGGGAAGAAAATATGTGCATATCATCAGTGGAGGTGGGTGGGAGTAAATGATTTTTAAGAATCCCCCTAGTATTGCTGCCATTTGAGACTGATCCCTATAAGGAAAATATGTGCATGGCTCCTGAAGACCCTCCAATCTTCATATTATCCTTGTGGGAGAAATGCATCAAATGGAAAAACCTGAATTATGCTCCTTCCTAAGGGATTTATCCAGGTATTAAGCATAACCTCACTCACTGTTGATCAAAACACAAAATCATTCTATTGCCTTTGGATTCCCTGATTACTCTTTCTCTTCTGCTTTCAGGTATTTTCCTTTTTGGTTTCTTAGATTTTTTTGGTGTTATTAAAAGAAAGACTTAGACAAATTCTTGACTCACTGAAATATTTACACCAGTTATCTATTCTGCCTGACATTTACCAGGACTTCCTCTGTGCTGGGTGCATATAAGGCCAAGTTCCCCAAATTTTTTGTTCGTGATTGACTTAGTCTTGGTAATTTTCCCCCTGTGCCCCTAGACCAAAGTAAATACCTGATAGTTCCATTTATTAAAGTAGTTAGCTGCAAACTTAATACTTAGTATTTATGTCCTGATGACTTTGTAGCCATTTCAAAAACAGAATATTTAAATTTAAAGAAAAAGCATTTTTATCTAATTCTTAAATGACCACACAATTACTTACTAATAGATTATTTGTATATATACACAACTTACTACTGTAAGTTATATAACTTCTCAAACCTTGGAAATTAGTGGTATACAGCAACTCATTTAATGATCTGCACTGATTTTTACATGGTGCTTGGTTTTAATCATAGCAGGTACAAAAAAACCTAGCTCTATAAAGATATGATGCTACGAAAAGAAATACATGTCCATCTGTTGAAACTTTGAATGACCTTGAATTAGTAGTTCTCACATTGTCTGCTTAGATGCTGAATATTGCTATGACTCCCTTGAAATTTCATACTATCTTACAGTACCCCTGTGAATGCACTTAGATGTCTCAGAAGGACATATCTAATTTAGTACTATAGTTATTGTATTTATTCTATAAATAAATATTTGTTCATTAGTGGTTACAGGATACATTTGGTTAATTAAAAGGTACAAAGATAAACTAAATAATCTTGTCAATATAGAAATAGAAGAAATGCTAGTACATTTCTATAAATAAAATAGGGAAACCATAGTGGTGTGAAATGGTCATCACTAAAGTAATGAGGAAATTCAAAGTAGGAGGTTGTGTGGAATAAAGTGTTTAATCACAGATTGCTCAGAATATAATTCCATCAGAATTTGTCTATTACACTTTCCATTGCAGAACTGGAGGTCAAAATGGATTTTTTTTTTGTTCAGAAAACCAAAATATTTATTAACTGCACTTACATGACCTTCTATACAGATGCTAAGACATGTTTTCCCCTTTTCTTGACATTTATTTGGATTGTTGTTTAGGGTTGTGTATTAATCAGAGTCCTCCAAAGAAACAGAACTTTGGATGGATGGATGGACAGAGGAGTAGACAAATAGATTGAATTATGTGGAATTGACTCACATAATTATGGAAGTTAAGAATTCCCAGAATATTCCATCTGCAATCTGGAGAACCAAGAAAACCAGTAGGATAATTTAGTTCTGCTATTCAGGCTGAGAACTAGAGAAAATACTGGCATAACTTTTAGTCTGAGGCCAAAGGCCTGAAAACCTGGAGGAAGCCACTTGTGTAAGTCTGAAAGCCCTAGAGCCTGGAATTCTAATGCTCAAGAATAAGAGAGAGAGAGAGAGAGAGAGAGAGAGAGAGAGAGCAAATTCACTTTTCCTTTCTGTTCTCTCTGGATTCCAACAGATCAGATGGTGCCCATCCATGCTGGATAAGGGCCACTCTTTTTTACTTAGTCCACTGATTCAAATGCCTGTCTCTTCCAGAAAGAACCTCACAGACATACCCAGAAATAATGGTTTGCCAGTCATCTGAAGTCCTTTAGCTCAACCAAGTTTACACCTAAACATGATCATTACAGATTATGTCCTTAGAATTTTTATTAACTTTATATTGCCTTCTTTCTGTCTTTAAAGCTTTAAGTCATTAATTTCAAGCTCATTTCGTAAACTTATTAATTATTCCATTTATATTCTTAATTCTGGGAGGTTTAAATGAATTATTTTAAGGGCTTTCTTTTCGATTTAATTTAAATCATAAACCAGTCTAATGGGAAGTCATTTGCTCATAAACTGAGTAGAGCAAATGTGTCTTCTGGACAATTTTCATTACCCACAAACCTCCCAGAGGATTCAGTAGTTTATTAACCATCATTGGGGTTGCCTTAGAGCAGGTAATCTATTTTTTTCCAGAACAAAAGTATTTGATCTGCTATTTTCTGCTTAGTCTCTGAAGTCATGACACTGATTTCCCCATCTCTCTGGGCTATGTCCTTGGTATCATGGTATTTAACATGATAAGTGAACCATTATCTTTTGGTAAATTTAATTATTATGCTTTTCTGTTCATACATGAGTATTTTCAGTCATATTAAATTTTTCCACCTATTATTAGAGGTAGATTTATGCCTAAAGAAATTGGTACTTCTAGGTTTCTTACTTTCATAGGCCCTGTGAGTGCTGGGAGATGGTGGAAGTAGGATGTTCTATGTAAGGAGCAGAAACCATGTCACCACTAGGAAGCTTTCTAGGGAATTGCCAAAAGAAAGGGATCTGAATCTCCAAGACTCTAGTTAACTTATTAGTGAATTTCCTTTCATTCAAAATAAATATTCTTTTTAGTACCTAAATTTGAATGTGTGATTTTGTATCCTTTTCCTTAAATGGCACCCCAAGAACTATCTAAGCTTCCAGACCCACAAAGCCTAGGTCTGCTCTGACCACTATTGTTTTATCAGGATGACTCTATTTTTAAATTCCAACTTCATTATTTTTCAGATAATTTTTGAAGCCATTCGGGGAGTGTCAATAAGAAGTGATACTGCCATTGATGATGTTAAATTTCAGGCAGGACCCTGTGCAGGTAATATTTTCCCCAATTATATAAACTTCACTAAAAAAAAAAGATTTTGCAGAGACAAGCATGGTGGCACATGCATGCAATCCTGGGACTGGGGAGCCTGTGGCAGGAGGATCACCAATTCAAGGTTTGCCTGGGGTTACATAGTGATTTCAAGGCCAGTCTGAACTGTACGGTGAAACCCTGTCTCAAAAGATAAAAAGATTTTGCAATATAGTCTCAAACAACTAAAATGAAAATTATATGTTTTTTCTGTAAGAAAAAAAGAGAAAACTGTTATTGTCTATTTGGTTTTTTTTCTGACAGAAATCGAAGATACAGCTCAACATTCATCAGGATATTCTGAAGATTTAAATGAAATTGAATATTAAGGAATGATCTGAATTGGATTAAATAGATAAAATCTGCACCTCTTCAATCAAAACAAAACAAAACGAATACTGGACAGTTTTTACCATTTCATAAGTTATGAAATGACTTCAGAGCACCCCTTATTCATTACTTTTGCAAAAAGATACTGACTCAGGGCTTTTTTTCTCTTGCATTTGACAACTGGTACTAGAAGTACAGGCTGCTGGTTTGCATCAATCTTCTTAATTTTGGTACTAGTTAAAAATACAAATGTACTATATTGTAGACATTTTATAATACACAAAGAGCACAATCAAAATGAGTGTGCTTACTTAAATTCTCATTCAGTGAATGTACTGGGAGAAGACTGGGTCTTGTGGGTTTCCTTTTGAATTTCAAGTATCATAAATATTTTTAAAGTAAATAATGTGGGGTGTCAGGAATATTTGCAGAATGAATGCAGTTTTTCATGGTAACAAGTTATTCTAGAAAAATAAAGTCATTTTTTCTATGTTTTATTCATAGAAAGAGTATTAATTTTTAATAATTTCACCATATGTGATAACAAAGGCGCTTTCTTGAACTCCCAGGGGAAGTCAGTACTAATTAACACAGTAGTACAAGACCGTGCTACCTTCTTTTTTCTCCCTTTGAACTACCTTTGAGAGTCACCGAGCACATGGATAGAAATTGCACTTCTTTTTTTGTAAGGTACGCTTGAAACTGTTTATGTACACTCAGCCAATGATTTTTTTAATAAACTTGTAAACAGTTTGATTTTTATAATAAATATTTTGGTAATGTTTTGAATGATATGAATTCAACCAGATATGCTAAACTACTGCTTTTTATTTACTTGTTTAAAGAATTGTATATATACTTGTGCACCCAAACAGCTGTTTATAAAATTATAGGTAATTATAAAATTACCTAATAAAAGATAAAAATCCTTCCACTCACAAGTAACTCATTTCTATATTAGTTGTCTTTGTCAGAATATCTTCATTAGATAACTGCAGTTTCCTATTTGAATGTCTCTTCTACCACAATAAAATGTTTTTAAGACTTTTTATTAATGACATAAATACTGCATACATCAGTACAATAACTAATTTTGAGGGGTACTTCATTTCACATAAACAATCTCATTTTTTCCAAGATTTTATGTCATTGTAATGTAAACCCTGAATTCCCACCTATTCAGGAGGCAGAGATTGGGAGGATGGCAGTTTGAGGCCAGCCCAGGCAAAAATAGATTCCATCTCAATCAATAGGCCAGATATGGTGGTGCACACCTGTCATCCCAGCTACTGGGAGGATCAAGGTCTGAGGCTGGCCCCAAGCAAAACTGCAAGACCCCATCCAAAAAATAACTGAAGCAATAAAAGGCTGGTGCGTGACTCAGAGGTGCCTGCCTAGCAAACGAGTGTCCCTAAGTTCGTTCAAACCCCAGGACTACCAGGGAAAAGAAGGAAGAAAGGGAGAGAGAGAGTGAGGGAGGGAGAAAGGAGGAAGAGAAGGAGGAAGGAAAAAAGGAAGGAAGGAAGGGAATTCTGTGAGGACAAGGAATCTTGCTATTTTGCTTACTTTTGTATTCTTAGTCCCCAGAAAATGACTGGTGTGTAGTAAGTATGCAACGAAGAAATACTTGTTGAATGTATGAATGAGTTTAATTTTTCCATTATCCTCTGAGTAGGAAATATTTTTAGATCTTTTCACAGATAAGAAAATTGAATCCCAAGCACTAGGGTATGGCTCCTGGTAGAGCCCTTAACTAGCCGGTACAAACCCTTGCATTCAATCCCCAGTATCAAAAGAAAACTGAGTCTCAGAGAGTGAAGAAATAAGATTCCACAGTTGTGAAGTAGAGGAACTTCAAAGTCAAATCTCTCTGTTCCCCAGAGCCCAAACTTCTTAGTACTTTGTGTAGTCCAAAGTTTGTTATTCTCATGGAGTTGGGAGTTTTATCCACTCAAGAGCATCAAACCTAAACATTAATCTGTTCAGAGCATTATATCTTTCTGAATGCCATATTACTTAGCAAGCAAAAAATACTCAACTGTATAATATTATATGAATCAAATCCTTTCCATTCATGATGATTAATTACTTTTAGAGGGGAAATCCTACAGAGTGGAAATTTTAGGAAAGATTTCAAGCTGTTGACCATTCACTGCATATTAAGCAGTATAATTCCCTCAAAGCATTATTCCTGACAAGAATTATAGTTATATTTACTACCTAAAGGATGGAGACCATGTCTCTAGGACCTAACACATGGATCTGGGTGCAAAGTAAGGTAAAACAATAGTGGTAAATGGATGAAGTCATTCCCTGGCCTCTTTGATAATGACATAAATCCATAGTTATAATTATAGGTAACATTTGTTGAGTATTTTCCATTTTCTGATATGTGCAAAGAGCTATATGTGAATTTGCTCATCTAATTCTAACAAAAGTCCATGAGGTAGGACCTAGTGACGGTTCCATGTTATAAATAGGAAAACCAAATCTGTCTAAGACTAAGCTAGTGTAGACCAGGGTTTGAACCTGAGTCAGTTGCACTGGTGATCCTCTCATCTAATTCTTCTGAACCTGCCACCTCGCCTCCCAACTCTATCTCCAATGTGGATTTACAATCTGGCCAAAGTTTCCAAGTTTCCCTCTTTCCGAGGATTTATTGTCTATCAAAATGGCTTCAAACTCTGCCAAGCCAGGAAAATTACTTGGGACACCGGCTTTCGCAATTCAGGGGAGGGGGAGTGGGGCTTGGGGTTTAGTGACTTCGGGAAGAAAAGAAAGAGGTAATTATTGCCAGCCGTTGCTAAGAAACAACTTGATGTTCATGGAAGAGAGGAAGGAGAAAGTGAGCTGATTAACTCACCTTGCCTCATTTATGCTCCTTCTACAGGATTCAATTTCTGGATGGTTTGCTTCCTTTCCCAGGTGGCCCTTAGCATTCATTTTAACTCTGTTTCACCTGGATGAAAATGTAGGCGATGGTAGGCACAGTATAGTTTTCTTAGGTTCAGAAATAAGGGAGGGGAAGGCATGCTAGCTGATACAATTTAACAATTTAAGCAGGGTGTTTGCGTTTATTTTAATTCTCAGCAGCACCTAAACATCCAAGTGCTTCAAATAGAAACTGCTTTCTCACAGACTGTGTTTTCTCTTATAATTTCCAATCTGGGGTGGAGATTATTTATGTACAAAAAGGAGGGAAGGAGAAGATAGTGAGAATAGAGACTCTGTTGCAGGGTCTGGTTTAATAAGGAAGAGGAAAAGGCTTAGCAAAGGTTTCTTGAGATATGTATGCTCTGGGCATTTTACCAAGCCATGGAGGTTACAAAGATGCTCACAGGTTAGTGAAGAAAATAGAGATACATAGGATCCAACACAATTCTGAATGCTCAACGCAATGTGGTCATATGCTCAGAATCTATGGATGCGTCTGGCACGGGCATCAGACCTGGCAGGGCAGGGGTAGTGTCCTGGTCAGTCTGGGCAAAGTAGTGAGAAGAGTAGAGGCTCACTAATGCAGTGCTCTGTTGCCTTGAACTTTTCTTCTCTTACTGTCTGAAGTATAAGGTCGAGGATCCTGGGTTTCTCATTCCCATGGAGGTGACATGTGTTTCCCCACATAATTTAACCAGAGGTGGAAAAAAATGAGTTAGCATAACCAAGGATTCTAATATTGCTGCATTTCCAACATGTGGATTACTATAAAGAGGCAATATATTAATGTATATGTTTGTATATATGTATGTATGCGTGTGGTCCCAGTTACTCGGGAGACAGAAGGCAAGAGGATTGTGAGCTTGAGGCCAGCCAAGGAAAAGTTAGTGTAAAATTCTATCTGAAAAAAAAAACTAAGAAAAAGCAAAAAAAGACTGCAACCATGGCTGAAGTGGTAGAATGTGAGGTCCTGAATTCAATACCTGGTACTAAAAGAAAAAGTATGGTGGCTCACACCTGTAATCCCAGCACTCAGGCGGCTGAGGAAGAAGGATCCAGATAGTGAAGCCAGTCTGGGCTATATAGCAAGCTCAAGGACAGCCTGAGTTACAAAGGAAGACCCTGCCTGTGTCAATCAGGTAACATTACATAGCAACTAAGTACACCATTTCTGGATTCAGGTTGTCTCTGTTTAAATCCTGGCCCTGCCACTTACAAGTTATGTCATTTATACCCTTTCTGGCTCCTTTTCCTACTCCACAAAATGGTGCAAATATGTATCCCTACTTCTTAAGGTTGCTGTAAAGAATAAATAAGAATACATATAAGAATTTGGGACGGTCTCCAAAACACAAAAGTCATTTTAGTTTATACTATCAGGTGTCCATGAAATTTCGGTTATTTTTATATATTCTTTTTCTACAAAGAATTGTGAGTTTATAGTGCCATCTTAAGGATAAAGCAACCATGTAATCTTGTCATTCTATCATCCTTTATTACTAGCAGTATAAGACTGTTTTAACCAGTGGCTAGGTAATGTCTTCCCCCAGCAGTCAATGTTTACATTTCTTCTGAACTGCATGCACACCTCTAGCAAAATTTATAGTGCTAAGTCTAACTTCTTGTTTATAGATCTATCTCTTCCAGAATGGTCACTTACTCAGTTTTGTTCCCTCACTGCTGAGCATACTCATGAATTATTTCTGGATTAAGTGAATGTTCAATAAAAGCATTTAGTTTAGTTCAAGCATATAAATGGGTTCAAAAAATTACAAGGGAAAAAAGTCCTTATTGGTCCATCATAATTTCATTGGTTCTTTTAACATATTTGTCAGGACATTATTTTTCCCCATAAGCCCATCCTCTAACATTTCACAAAACATTAGGCTATACAGTGAATAACTGCATGTTATAAAATACACAATAAATTCAAACCCAGACCTACAGTCTCATGAAGATTGTTTAAAAATATGGCAAGATGGAATCTAGATTTTTTTAAAAAGATATGAAAGTAGAAGAGGGGGAAGAGGGAGGACCTGAGGAAGGAGGGAGGAGGAGAAGAGAGGACGATGGGGTGAATATGACCAAAGTGCATTGGACACATTTGTGACAGTATCGTAATGAAACTCATGACTTTGTACGATTGATATATGCTAATGAAAAAATATGGCAAGGAAGGGTGAGGTGGAAATAGGGCCAATGGGGAAAGGATTGTGAAGAAGACTTCACAATGTATACCTATTTAGGGCTGAGGATGTAGCTAGGTTGTTGAATGTTTGCCTAGCATGCATGAAGCTCTGGGTTTGCTCCCCAGCAACACAAAAATAAATTAAATAAATAAATAAAGAATACCTGTTTATATCACATAAACATATTGTTTGTTCCAAAAATCAAGTTTTAAAAGTATGGTAAGAAATACATACTGGAGAATGCAAAGGTATTCTGTGTAGCAGAATGCATAACCCAATACCCCTGAGCACATAGGCATGCAAAGCAAAAAAAATTTTTCAAATGTAGGTGAAATATGGTAAAACTTTATTGTAAATGAGTAGCCAAATTGGTAAGACAGGAAGGTAATATTCAGACTGTACTGTACTCCATCTATCCTCCACCCCCAACAAACAGAACATAAGAGCAGAGAGGTAAGAACATAAGCTGACACTATAGCTACCTGAAGGGGGCTTGCCAGTCTTGGTGAACTGGGGTTTTAGGCTTTTATTCCCACAAAAGGATGAGAAAAGAGCCTACCAAAGGTGGGGAGGAGAGAACTGAGGTACCCCCCAAATAAGACCAACACTCTTGAAGAGCTACATTTTTACTAAAAGGATAAATTAGGGGGGAAAAAAAACTTCCCTCCAGCACAGGGAGAAAACCAAGTTGCTTACTTTCTTCATTTGGACTGTGGAATGTGAACAGGGCTTCTTCCTTGAGAATTCCTAACTGGATTATGCAAGTCTGGAACACAACATTACCCTGGCTTCATGGTCCAGGAATCC